TGTTATGGTTTATGTCTAGATGTCCCCCAAAGCCTCATGTGCTCATAGGTGGGGGTTTTGGAAGGTGACTAGATCATGGCCGTGTGATACTCATCATTGAATTCGTCCCCTGATAGGATTTATAGCTGGGTGTGATGTTGGGAAGTGAAGCCTGGTGGGCAGAGGTGGGTACTGTGGGCGTGGCCTGGGTGTGTTTGTGTGTGTGCATCAGTGTATTGCTACTGCTTCCCGCCTGCCTGCCTTCCTTGCCATGAGCTCTTTGTCTTCCCATGCCACCCTGCCTTGGAGCCACCTGACTGTGGACTGAAACCTCTACAAACTGTGAGCCAAAATAAACCTCTCCTCCTTTAATTTGTGGGTATCACGTATTTCGTCCCCAAACAAGGAAGAAACTAAGACACTGATATTTTGTAAGGTCAATAACAATGAAAAAATATGGGTAAACCTAATCTGTTATGAATGGTGTCCTTGTAAGAAGAGGAGATTATGACAAAGACACACGCAAGGGAAGACCATGTGAAGACACCAAAAATAGCCATCTGTGTGCCAGGGACCGAATCTTTCAAAAGTACACAACCCCAAGCCTGGAGTGCTATTGCTTGCCTGAAATCTCAAGGGACGCTGAGGCAGATGGATAGCAAGTTTGAGCCCAGCCTGGGCAACATAAAGACTTAGTAAAGCCTTGTTTAAAAAAAAAAATTTAAAGGGTGTTGGGATGTAGTGTAGAGCATAGGCCCTGGGTTCAATCCCCAGTATACACAAAACAACAACAACAAAACACAAAAACCCCACCAACACCTTGTTCTAGGACTGCAGGCCTCCAGAATGAAGAGAAAGTAAATTTTTTAAAAGTCACCTAATTTGTGGTGTTTATTATTATAACCCTTGTATATTATTTTACTATTAGGTGTGTTGCAAATATTTTTGAGTAATACATTACTTTCAATTTGGGGTATATAATTACTTTTCTAGTGGTATAGAAAATTTTTATTCTTCTCTTAAAACTTAGAAAATCTTACTCTTTTGTCTGTATGAATCTATAAAAATTAATCCTTTCAGTTTTTAAGTACTTGTAGTGTGCATTGAAACAATAAAAATCAGGAAAAAAATAGACATTCTTTTGAAAGTCTGAAGCCTCTTTGTTTATTATATTTTAGAATTCTATGGATTTTATAAATATTATATTTACTGCTCTCATACTGAGAGCATCTACTCTGTTCCTGTCCTCTACCCTGTTTTATTTGGAAAATATGGTTGTTTTTGTTGTTTTGTTTTGTTTCCTTATTATTGGTTTTTGGGTTTTTGGCCTCTAAAGAAGAATTGGGAGAGGAAGTTTTACTTACTAGCTTTTTCTTAATGTTTGTTCTTTTCACACAATGACACGTGGCAGGTTGTTGTTTTCTGGATAGTTAGGATACATATTTATAATTTTATAACAAGCAACCATAATAATAGTACTTCAGATACCTTTCTAAAGTCTTTAATGTTGTTTAAAGAGAAAAACTCAAATGATTTACCTTCTCTTTAATCCATTTCATTTAGTCCAAGTATATAACTAGAGGAAGTTTTATATAACTTTTACATAAAAAATTTCAAAAGAAACCACCAGCAGAGCTGACAGACAGTCTACAATATGGGAAAAAAATTTTAGCAGCTGTACCTCAGACAAAGGACTATGATCTAGAATATATAAAGAATTGAAAAAAATTAGACCCCTCAAATTCAAAGACCCAATTCAAAAATGGACATCTGAAATGAACAGACATTTCTCAAAGAAGTGAAAGCAGCAAACAAATATATGAAAAAATGTTCAACATCACTCGTCATTCAAGAGATGCAGATTAAAACAACACTGAGATTCTACCTCACCCCAGAAAGAATGGCTGCTATCAAGAAATCAACCAATAACAAATGCTGGCGGGGTTGTGGGGAGAAAGGAACCCTTCTCCATTGTTGGTGGGAGTGCAGACTGGTGCAACCACTGTGGAAGTCAGTATGGAGATACCTCAAAGAACTAGGACTAAAGGTCCCATTTGACCCAGCTATTCCCTTGCTGGGTATCTTCCCAAAAGAATTAAAAGAATCACGCCACAGTGATATATGTGCACCCATGTTCATAGCGGCATAGTTTGTAATAGCTAAAGCTTGGAAACAGCCCAAGTGCCCATCAACTGGAAACTGGATAAAGAAAATGTGGTTTTTTAAATAAAATGGAGTACTCCTCAGCCATAAAGAATGAAAAACTAGAGTCATTTATAGCTAAATGGATGCATATTGAGGCGATACTCTTTAAGTGAAATAAATAGGACTCACATGTGTAAATACCGAATAGTTTCTCTAGTGTGAGAAATTGATAGTGTAAACAAGGGTTAAAATGATTAAAATGAATAATTGATAATTTGAAATAGGAAAAAAGGTCCAAAGACGAAGGAGTGAAGGGAGGGGAAGGGGAAAGGAAAAATTATGAGAAAACAAACAAACAAAAAAGGAAATGAAGTCTGTGTAAGTAGGGAAGGGTGGAGGGGGTGAAGAGTGTACAAGTAATGGAGGAAAAAAATAAGAACCAAGATATATCATATCTTGGTACAAACACCCAATGATAAATGTAAACCAGTTGTATACCTAAAATGTACCAATAAAAGAACTAAAAAAAAAAAAATGCAAGCCATTCTGTTGCGACAAGAAGGAACGTATGGCAGAGACAACATATATAAAAAAAAGGGCCAGGGATTTAGCTCAGTGGTTTCACTGCCTGCTGCGCAAGCACAAGGACCCGAGTTCGATTCCCGGTACCAAAAAATATATATATACTAAAAAAAAAACCAAAAACCTCACGTAGATTTAAGATGCCTATAGTCATCCATGCATGATTCAGTTAGCTAGTGGTATTAGAACAGTGCTCCTGATGAAGACAACTAAGAAAGCCTGTTGAAGACTACAGGAAATTGCTCAGTGGAAGGGGCCAAAGTTTCAGAGAAGGGAAAATTTTATAGAGGTGAGCTTCCTTTTCCAGTAGGCAGTGCCCAAGAAATACTTGCTGCTGTTGCAGAAAACTAGAGGTTTAAACAGTATGCCTGTGAGGACTGTTGCTGAAAAGACAAAAAGTGGCAGTTTTTGGTGACACCATATAGGGTGTATCAAACATAAGATTTGCCCCTAAGTACCTTCTTTGATTCCCAGGGCTGTCTAGAATGGGAATCTTAAAACATGAGCAGAAAAATGTTTGAAAATCAGAGGGGGAACTTTTGGTATTTTTGTCTTAAAAATTAAATTTGTTATTTTTTTTGGACTTGGTCATTTAACAACAAGCTTTCAGTTGAAACGTTAGGGGCTAGGAAAAACTAAAACGACTCTTAATTAGGAGAGCCTCCTAACTTGAACTCAGCACTGACTATACAATAGCCTAACAGAGAAGGCACACCTCTCTATGGAGAAAGATATCATCAGGAATCTTGGCAAGTTGTGCACACAATTGAAGATTACAGGAGTCACAAAAGGATATGTTTGATGATATAACTAGAACAAAAAGGAAAACAGCTAATAAAAAAAGAGCAGGAGATGATCCACAGCATTCACATCCATTTAGGTGACAAACACTTTTAACAACTATGATTAATATGTGAATAAAATGGAGGAATCTTATGAAAAAAGTAGATTAAAAAATCAAGATTTTCATTAAAATATTGGAATATCTAAAAAAATTAAATAGAAATCAAGAAAAAAACCCCTCTAAAATTAACTCATTAAAAGACAGGTGTAGTGGTGCATGCCTGTAATCTCAGGACTTTGGGAGGCCAAGGTTGTGGGATTGCAAATTCAAGCTCAGTCTGGGCATCTTAGCAGCTTAGTGAGAACCTCTCTCAAATAAAAAAATAAAGGGCTGCGATGTACCTTGGTGCAAAGGCCCTGTTACTGGAGGAAAAAAAATCATCTCATTAGATGGATGTAATAAATAATTGAACATAAGTGAAAATGCAATAGGAAATATTAAACGAACACACTGAGATAAAAGAAAATAGAAAAAAGTAGCAGAGAGAATTTAAGAGATTTGTGGTTTGAAAAAATCTGACATACATATAATTGAATCACCACAGAAAGGAAATGGAGTTGGGTAGAAGTAATTCTGAAGAGATAATACATACAATGTTCTAAATAAAATATAGAGATTTAAGAAAAGGAAACCCCGTGAATACATTGTAAAAACCAAAGATAAAAGTGTCTTAAAGTCAGCCTGAGAGAAAAGACATGACTTTCAGAAAAAAACCAATAAGACAGAGGTAGACTTCTTAACAGTAATTGAAACTGTTGGAAGAAAATAGGAGCTAGCCTAAAATGCTATGTTTACAGCAAAATATTCTTCACAAATGAAAGTAGTTAAAATCGTTTCCAGACAAAAACCAGAAGATTTATAACTAGCAACCCAGGCTAAAATTAAATGAAAAACCATCAACAAAATATGTCAATGTATTGAGCTAGGAGGAAGAATGTTACTTTATGGAACCACTAAAATGAAGAAAAGGTTGAAGAGTAGTAAAAGAATAAATATGTGAGCAAACATCAATAGATAGTGGCTGGAAAAATGAACAGTGAGATCTTACACGGTTTAAATCCAAGTAGAAAAAAAGGTAACAAGTGGAATGTGATGGGGGAAATGTAGTTAACATATTATAAAATTCTGCCATTATTGAGGGCATGCTAAAGGAATCATTTCTTTTAGGCTAATAAGTCAACAATGGATGTTGTAAACTTTGTGATAACCAGTCAAAGAACAGTTTTTAAAGCAGTGGAAAAGTAAACAAGATGATCAGTTTCTAAAAAAAAAATCTAACACTAGTCAGATAAAAAGTGAGGTGATAGGAATAAAGCTGTGTTTTAACAGTAGAATTTTATTTTTTTTTCAAAATTTTACTGAAGGAAAATGTCTTATTTTCTAGGCTAAAATTATAATCATGTAAATATTTTAATTCACAACTTACAAATTTACACTTTTTTTAAAACAGCTTCTTTGTGATATTGGCCACAGTGAAGAAAAACTGGGCTTTAACTATGAAGATATCATAATTTGGTAAGTGTAATTTAATTCTCTTTCCTGTCCCTTCTAGATTTTAGTATTTCAATTTTAGCAATTTTAAATGTGAAATCAGATAATACAGCACCTCATATTTGATTTTGTAGAAACAGCTGCTTGAAAATTAGAAAAATTCAAGACCTTCAGTAGTTTTATGTTGTGACTCTTATGTGATATAATTACTAGTGCCTAGACTTCTATAATTAAACTTGTAAATTAAATCTGAAAATTTCATACAGAATTTCGCATGTTCTTCCCAAGAATGAGAAGAACCTATATATGTGGGTCTTACCTAATAGAAAATGCACTTACACAAACTTGATTTGCCCAAGCACACTACTAGAGTGTACTTTCACAACATCTTGTTGTGCCTGAGGTATAGAATTAATACAATGTCAAAAAGCTTCTGCACAGCAAAGGAAACAACCAACAGAGTGAAAAGAAAACCAACAGACTGGGCAAAACATTTTTGCGAGCTGTTCCTCAGACAGAGGACTAATATCTAAAATATAAAAATAATTTTTAAAAAGTTAGACTCCTCCAAAATAACTCAATCACAAAATGGGCAGGTAAGATGAATAGGCACTTCATGGACGAACAAATATAAATAAGTATATGAAGAAATGTTCAATATCTCTGACCCTTAGAGAAATTCTAATTCAAGCAACACTAAGGTTCCATCTTATCCCAGAAAGAAGACCATCATCAAGAAATCAAATAATAACAAATGCTGGCAAGGCTGTGGGGCAAAAGGAACCCTTCTCCATTATTGGTGGGAATGTAAATTAGTCCAACCACTATGGAAATCATGGAAATTCCTCAAAAATCTAAAATTAGAAATTTCATTTGACCCAGCTAGTCCCTTTCTAGGTATCTTCCCAAAATAGTTATAAAGATATCATTACATGGATACCCATGATTATAGCAGTACATTCACAATAACTAAATCTTAAAACCAGCTTCTGTGTCTATCAACAGATGAATGGATGAAGAAAATGTGATATTTACACACAGTGGAGTACCACTCTGCCATAAAGAAAGACAAACTTGAGTCATTTGTAGGAAAATGGATAAACTTTGAGGCCATGTTAAGTGAAGTAAATCAGACATACAAGCTTAAATATATCATTGTTTCACTTATATGAGAAACCCAAATTTTAAATAAAGAGCAAAGTAAAGGATAGATAATAGGAAGTAGGGAGATAGATTTTCTGAAATGAGAAAGGGATCGAGAGATGGAGGATGAGGGAATAGGGAGAAGAGAAGGGTGATGAAAAAAGGAATTAAATGTTCTATGTGTATGTACCAACTCCACACAAGGAATGTAAACATTGTGTACTACAAGCATGTGCTAATAAATAAAAAAATTGATAACAATAGTCTTAGCCTGGTGTTGTTACATTTTTATATTTTATTTTTAAACCAGTGATTTTTCTGGAAGAGGTAGAAGCAGCAAAGCATGTAAAGGGGAATAGATAATAGAGGCATATGATAGAACTTGGCAAAAGCGTACTTCATTTCCCATTGCTTATATGAAATGAACTACAGAAGATAGAATAAAATTCAGTCACATTTACTTGACTGACAAGAATTTGCTAAAGGAGGCACTGATTGAAACTGACTTTATCATCAAATGAAGTCTCCATGGTTTGTATTGTGTGGTTTTTATAAATGTAAAATGTGATTAAATGAAATTAATCATATATGACTAGACATTTTGCATATCGTGGCTGAGGAAGAATTTGATGTGAGTGGAGCATATCAAATCAGAAAATCTGAAATCTAAAATGTTCCAAAATCTGAAATGTTCTTAGTGTCATGTTACTGTTGAAAAAGTTTTGGATTTTGGATTTTCAGATTGAAAATGTTTGATTGGTACATTCTGTGCAAATACAGTGGCATGGACTTAATTCTTTCCACGATTCTGGTCACAAAGTGAATTGGATGAGAACTGAATCAAATTTCCCCATAAGGTCAGCATTGAACCTAACCATTGAATTTGGTTTGGTTCTCATCCAGTTTGGTTTGTGACCAGAATCATGAAAAGAATTAAATTCTTGAATCAGTGTATCACAGTATTCTGAAATCTGAAAAACAGGAGAATCTGAAACACTTTTCATCCTAAACATTTTGGTTATGGGATACTTGTACAGTAAGTTTATATGTATTTGAAACTCATGCAACAAAACTTTGTGTTTTCATACAGTTTGCGGTTAGCTTTATTGAATGAAGCAAAAGAAGTACGAGCAGCAGGGCTACGAGCACTTCGATATCTTATCCAAGACTCCAGTATTCTGCAGAAGGTGCTAAAATTGAAAGTGGACTATTTAATAGCAAGGTAATTTCTCTAGAGTTTGTTTTTAAAATTTTGTATTGCATTTCAGCTTATAAACTGTGGAGTGTAAAGCTTGGTAATTTTATGTATACAACCAAGTAAGACTTAAAGCATTTTCAGCCTACCAGTAAAGCTCCCTTGTATCTTCAATGAGTAGTAAACATTATTCTGATTTTTCTCATTGTAAACTAGTTCTTCCAGTTTTTGAGTATCATGTTGGAAATATACAGTAGTCTTTTCCTTCTTTATTATCTGTGAGATTTATCCATGTTGATGTACTTGTGATTTTTTTTATGGATGTGTAGTGTTTTGTTTTATGGTTAAACTATTCTGGTGATTTTCTAGATTGATCTTAGTGCTATATTATTTTGAATAAAGTTGCCCTGAAAATTCTTGTATCAGTCTGTTAGTGGACACATACATTCATTTCTCTTAGGTATGTGTAGAACTGGAATTGCCTGGATGTAGGCTTATATGTGTTTAGTTTTAGTAGCTACTGCTAAGTAGCTGTTCAAGTGATTGTACTGATCTATAATAGTACCAGCAATGTATGAGAGTTCCAGTCTCTCCATGTCAGCATTTGATGTTTTGTTTTGTTTTTTCCTTCGGTACCGGGGATTGAACTCAGGTCCTTGCGCTTGTGCAGCAGGCGTCAAAAACACTGAGCTAAATCCCCGGCCCCAACATTTGCTGTTTTTAGTCTTCAGCTATAACCTGACTGGTGTGGTTTTCATGTGGGTTCTTATTTTGGTTTTAATTTTCATTTCCTTGATGAGTGATGATATTAAGTAATTTATCCTTTTTGTCTTTTGCTCATTTGTAAACTGGATTATCTTTCTTCTTATGTAGGAATTCTTGATGTCTTCTGGAAATGAGTCTTTGCAGGTATATCACTGAGAATATCTTCAAGTATGCCTTCCCATTTACTTTCTTAATGGATCTTGAATGAAAAAAGTTCTAATTTATGAAATCCAAAGTGTTCTCCGTTTCTTTAGTTGGTCTGTCTATTCTTGCAGTAGTTTCTTACTATTTTGATTACTCAGCTTTTCAATACATTTTCATTATTATTAATGTGAGTCCTCTGACTTTTCTTCTTGAGGAGTATCTTGGCTTTTATGGGTTCTGCATTTGCATATAAATTTTAGAATCTTTGTTCATTTCTACATAACTTGCTGGGATTTCAGTAGGTGTTACATTGACTTTCTAGATTAATTTAGGATGCATGGACATTGTAATTAAATCTTCTGAACATAATTTATTGGAAACCTTGATTTTGTAATTTTCTCAACCAGAGCTCTAACTTTTTGTTGCTGTTTTTAGCTAATGATATGTAGAAAAAATTAGGGGAAAGTATTGATTTCTTACCTAGCAACTTAGGTAAATTTACTTTACAGTTTTGTTGCTCTTTCTACAGTACTCAGGATCCCTCTTTACCACTGAGCTACATCCCAGCCCATTTTAAAATTTTTATTTTCAGACAGAATCTAACTAAGTTGCCCAGGCTGGCCTTGAACTTGTCCTCCTGCTGCAGTGCTTCTGTCTTAGCCTCTGGAGTAGCTGGGATTACAGCCATGCATGGCTCACTTAAAATTTTATATATTATTCATAGATTATATTGGATTTTTCTTTGTATACAATTATTAGATGTTTATATCTTCTTTCCAATCATTTTATCTTTTTTTTCTTTCTTTTCTTTTTTTTTTTTTTTTTTGGCCTTACTGCACTTGTTAAAATATTCCATTGAATAGAAATGATGAATATTTTGCTTCTAAGCTCAGGTGGAAAATGTACAGTATTTCATCATTATACTTTTAGTGAATTTTCTTTATAGTCTTACTTTGTGTTCTTGAAATGAACACCACTTGTTCATGGTTTCTTGTCCTTTTTATGTATACTGAATTTGGTTTGCTAATATTTTCCAGACTTTTGCACCTATGTACATGAAAGGTGTTGTTGTTCTCTTTTCATTACACTAATATCTTTGATTTTTTTATCAGGAGTATATTTTATAAACATCTAAAAAGTATTGTCCTCTGTTCTCTTTGAGATTTTATATGATATATATATATGATATATATATATATATATGATATATATATATTTCTTTTTTTCCCTCCCTACATAATTACTAGAATTCCCCACTGAATCCCATTGGTCTTTTTTAGGAAATTTTAAAATTACAGACTTGGGCTGGGGATTTAGCTCAGTGGTTCTAGCACCTGCCTCTCAAGTGCAAGGTCCCAAGTTTGATCCTCGGTACCAGAAAAAATAAAATAAAATTACAGACTTAATTTTTTAATAGATATAGTATACCCTTTTTTTTTTTCTTTTGTGGCGCTAGGTAGTGAACTGAATATGCATGCTAGCAGGCAAGTGGCACAGCCCTAGCCTAGTCACTTTTTTCTTGAATCAGCTTAAGCTTTATATAGTTAGAAACTTTGTTATTATATTTATATTTATAATTAAGTCTTCATATTGGGCTCATCTTTTTAAAATTATGAAATATCCCTCTTTATTGCTAGTAGTACTTCTTACATGATTATTTATATTATCTAATAATATAGCATCACTATCTTTCTTTGGCTTAGTGTTTGCATCTTTCCCATTGGTCCTTACACTTAACTCTCTCCCTAAAAACATCATAGATTATTTTCAGTATCTAATTTGAACTTCTTTATTTTTTAATTGAAATATTTAAACTACTTATATTTAGTCATTTACTATGTGCATAATTTGTGAACTAGAGCTAATGTAATTGTACAAGTTTATCTTGCTATTTGTAGTCTGTCACATCTTTTCTTTGTTCTTGTATTTTTCCTTTTTTTTTTTAATCAAGAATTTTTTTCCCTTTTCTGTTAGTATCTTGGTAATATATCTTGGAGTAGTTGTCTACTACTGCTCTTATTATTATCAGAACAATGCAAGAAACCTATCACAGTTTGTGTCTTCTCTGGTCTGCTTTTTATCTATTGTTATGATTTACTTCTTACATATGTTTCAATGCCACAAAGTAGTCCATTTACTATTTGAAGTTGCAACTCTACTTATGTTGTTTATCCATTCTGGTATTTGTCATTTTTGTATTTATTTGTGAGCTTTCAACTTGAATCACTATTTTCTATTTGATGAATTTCTTTTTCCATCTTTTTGTAGTATAAACCCACTAAAGGTGGATTTTCTTGTCTTCTATTTGTCTGTAAATAAATTGTCTTCATAATTGAAAGCTATTTTTGACACCAGTCATTTTTCATTGCATATAAATTGTCTTTGGGCTTTTTTTTTTCCAGTACCGGGGATCAAACTCAGGTCCTTGTGCTTGCGAGGCAGGCAGCGGAACCACTGAGCTAAATCCCCGGCCCTCTTTTGGCTTTCTTACATGATTTCCTTTTTAACTATTAGATAATAGCTTCTCTACTTTGATTTCCTTTTTACTATTGGACAGTAGCTTCTCTACTTTGTAAATGATATCTTTTTATTCCCTTCCTACTTTAAAGATTGTTTTTTATCTGCTATATTCTGTCCTGGTTTCTGGTAGTTCACCTATACATGTTGGGTCTTTTCACTATCCCCTATGTCTCTGATGTTTTTACTGTAGTTTTCCATCTTTATGGCAGTGGTTCTTCAAGGTGCTTACTTTCTACTTACTGTATCATATTCCAGTCTATCTTGCTAATAATAATAAATCAGTCTCTTGAATTCTTCATTTAAATTATTGTCTTACAGTTTATTTTATTCTTTAAATTTTTCAGATCTCTGCTTTCTTCTTTTTTTAATCAACTATAGTTATTTTGAAGTCCTTTCTGACATCTCCATTATGTGAATTACTTGTATTCTTATTTCTGTTGTCATTTTCACTTTTTGATTTTTGGTCTCTGGCCCTTTTGTTTGTTTTGCCTGTTTGTTTTAAATCATGCCTCATACCAACTAATCGAGTGTGAACATTGGTATTAAAACTACTGGCTCCAGATCATTATTTTTCTTTTAAGAAAGTGAAATTTTATTCTTGAGTGTTGATTTATTACATTGATTCTGTTAGAGTTGGTTTTATTTTTGTCTTTGATCCTAAGAAGTGTCAATTTGGAATCTCAGTTAAAGTGTAGATATTTATCAGAACTTCTTCACCTTGGGCAGCATTGAACCGTGAGCTATAGACTATTCTGTACAGGCTGACATCACTGTGGTGTTACTTTGCTTTTCTGGGTAGCTCTTTTGCTTGGTTTCTTGGGAGTCCTATCCTGCTTTTGTACAACATAGAATCCAACAAGTGTCTTGCAGAGAACATTGCACATAGATTTTACCTCACTTCCCTGTGCTTTCTTGTCTTTGAGATTTACCCCTCAACTCCAACCAACCGTTTGGGCTGCCTGAAGTTAAACCTCTGTCTTTCTAGTCTAGCCTGGCTTTTGCTTTCTGCTAGGACTGAATGTCCCCCAAACTGGAGATTGACAAGTAGCCCCAGGGATAAAGCCTGTGAATGTTAGAACTCCCTTAACCCTTTTTCTTTTCAGAGGTTATTCTCCATTGGCCTTTTAGCAGTTGTTTTATAAAATAATTTTCCCAGTTTTATAGTTGCTTTTGCCAGAAGGGTTGGTCTGATCCAAGCATTTTTGTTAATGGTCAGAAATGGAATTCTGTGTTGATTTACTTTGTGTTTATTTTTGTTTATTTGCCACACTGTAGCTGCTGTCCCTTAGTACATGTTAGTCAAGCACTCTGCCCCTGAGCTACACCCCAGGCCCCCATTTACTTTGTAATAGTGTTGCTCTAAATTAATAGCATTTAGACAAAAATGAGTTTTCAATAGTAATACTGTTCAGTGTTAGAATACTGAACTACTTAAACAGAAATTTGAAATAAAACATTGTCCTGCCATATATATAAAACATTCTTTCAGCTTAGATAAAAAAATTTTGCAAAGAAATGTCTACTAAGTGATATTTGACCAAGTATTAATCTTGAAGGAATTTAGAACTTGTTATATTTTAGTAAAGAAGAATTTTTGTGGATATTACATAAGAGAATTAATATGATATATAAAATTTAACCCTTGGTTAAAATCACAAACTACAACAAGCTTCAGGTATTTTCCTTTTATAATTATTATAAAATGTCTATGAATTTATCTATAAAATTTTATATTTTGTCTGTAGATTTCTGATACTCTGATATATAGATGTTATTTTGAGTGTACATATAGTACTATATTTTCCTGAAGTTTTAAGTGAAAAAATAATTGTTTTTATAAAAACAAATACTTAGAGATGTATAGGTTAACTAAACATTTGCTGGTAATAGAAAATCATGTATTAAAGTTTTAATATAATATATTGACATTGTGAAGGACATAATGGTATTATACAAGAACTTGTTTTTTAAAATTTTATCAGTGAGTAATATTTTGTGTATTGTTTAGGTGCATTGACATTCAGCAGAGCAACGAGGTAGAGAGGACACAAGCACTTCGATTAGTCAGAAAGGTATGCTCTATGTAAGAGTAAAGGCAAATTTATGGTTTTCATGTGAAATATAGATTGTTATGAAATCTATTAAATATAAAGCCTAAATTTCATTAAACATTTTTATTTTGCTAAATATGAATTAAGTAAAGCTATTAAAGTTTGAGATAAGCATAAATATTTCCTGTAACTGTTGTGTGATTGGGGATAGTTAGGATAGTATTCTTATAAAGTATATTTCTTTCTTCAGTAGAAATGTAAATGTAATTTCTGCTTTGATAAATTATTAGGGAAAGAGATTCCTTGCTCCCCCTCCTGATTGTCTCATTATATGCTTGTAGTTAAAAATATTAAATAGTTGTCACAAGCAGTTACAAGCTTGTTCTAAAGATGAATTTGGATGTATAATTCACGGGCAGTTGTAATAAACAATTAGCATTGTATAGGATAAAAGATCAGAATTTAAACTCTTCAAGAAAGGGTGTTAAAGACAGTCTATAAAGCTTCTCAAGAGAGGCCTTCACAGAATTATTCTGGTGTTTAATGTAATGCCCCAACGGCCAAGCAATAGAACAATAGTTGAGATTTTCAGTAGAGATTTTTCATCTTTCCCTACCTTTGAATTTGTGGCGTGCCCCAGAATGGTGGACTGTTGAGATAGTATTAGATTCCTTGGTTTTCTTTTTCTTCCATTCGCCATTTGGCTACCTTGTGGTTACACATAGTACTCATAGTTGCCCATAGTGAAAAACAAGAAAATGGATGAGTTAAGTCTTAAAAGAGATTTGAAACTCTAGTAACAGTATTAGAGATAGGTCTTGTTATAAGTAAACTATTATATCAGGATATGATTGGCTTTTCATGATCTCTAGTTTTAATTTATTCATACAGTCCCTCCTAATACTGTGTTTAAAAGAAAGAAACAAAATTTGTTTCTAAAGAACCTAGAGCAGCTTTTGAATTTTTAGGTTGTATATGCCAATATTTATCCTATGGGGAACTAAAATATATATTAATATATTACAAATAACAATAAACTTATTATATGTAAACATGAATAACATATTATGAAAATAACTAGTGTTTTCCAAAACATTGTTTCCAATTTTTGGAATTCTCTTTGATGTATGTCTTGATAGAAAACAGCAGCAAGGTGGTTATAGTATTTGCTTCCTCATTCAGTCAATTGTGCTATCACATGCAATAGAGACACTAGAAAACTTCTCTGTGAGAGTAAGTGAAAAAGTGAATAATGTCTTTGTTACTATGGAAATAATTTTTGCAGAGTTACAATTTTGCGGAGCTTCAGAATTTTCTGGCTCACACTGAGAATTGCTGTCCTGAAAATTACTTTCGAAAGACAATTTCAGATAGATTTGAACAATTAAATTTAGCTTCTTTGAATCGTTTAGTAAATATTTCATTTTGATTTGCTAAAGTATTTTGTGCAAGTTAAAATTTAATTTATAAACTAGCTCAGTAAAAATAAGCAAACTCTTGGACTGGGGATTCAGCTCAGTGGTTTTGCCGCCAGCTGTGCAAGCGCAAAGACCCAAGTTCGATCCCCAGTACCGGGGGAAAAAAAAAAAAAAAAAGATTTTGGGGTGGAGATTTAGCTCAGTGGTTCCGCCGCCTGCCTCGCAAGCGCAAGGACCCGAGTTCGATCTCCAGTACCAAAAAACAAAACAAAACAAAAAATAAGCAAACTCTTAAAAATATCATTTATGATATTTGATAAATATATTTGGTGTATCATATTTGATTATGATGATTGGTAATTTGAGTCAGATAACATTTCTAAATCCAGGAGCAGAAAAGCTGCTCCAACTCAGTAGGATAGAGGCTCAAAGGAGGAGTTGTAGCTGGCATAGGATTTCTCCTTTGGTTTAGCTAAAAGGATAATTTGAAGGTAAAGTATATTTGCTGAATAAACAGTGACCTTTAAGGGCCATAGAAACCATAATTTCATTAGTACTTTTAGCGTATGAAGTATATATTTCTTTATTTCCAAGAATAGTTTGATAATTGAAATAATGTTACTGTTTTTATTTTATGCATTCAAAAAAGTGTTGAAACTTTCTATTGAATTATTAATATAAAGGAAAAAAATTATTTACTGCTTTAGGATGACTTACTCTATGATAACTCATGTTACTTTTCCTTTCTTTCACCTGTCTCATTCATTTGGAGGATTGTCTGTTTGCTTTTTTCTTTCAGTGTCTTAATTTTTTTTAACCCCCTTCCCACTCCATCCAGACAGTCCTTTCCAGTTTTAGAGATTTTTTCATATAATTTTCCCACTGGTCAGCTGTTGCCCCTCTTTTCTTTTTCCTATTTAAATTTTACTTACTACTCAGTTAATTTAAGCCACTATTTTTTTAACTTAATAATTTGTTATTTATATTAGGCATTATTAATAACCTCAATTTTTTTACAGTTGTTAAGAATTTATTTTGATGGCTATCACATACACTTGATACACAGCAAGATAGTGGCAAAGCTAGAGGAGAAACTCCAGTTTGCAAACATACATTGGCTAATGAGTATCAACGACAACCTGCCTACTTTGACATTCAGAACTCACTCTTGATCTAATCAATTATTTCTGTCTGACCTGTCTTTATTATTTCCATTGTACTTGTAGGTGAACTACCATCACTGCTATAGTTGTTACTTCCTTCCAATTCCTTTCATTTTCACCCCTTGTTATAGTATATTCATCTTCACCATCTCAGCTCCAACTTTAGAAATTCCTCCTAAAGAACTAAGGACTTCTGTAATCCTTTGTATTATTCCATAAATTTATTACCTAGTCCTTATCTTTATCTTGTATTTGTCTGCCGTATTATGCCAGAAGAGATGACATGCAACAGTGATGGCATTCTATGGCTTCTCCCTTATTGAGTATTCCTTGATTTATGAAAAAAGCATTCTCTGATTTATGCAGAATTATGAGGTTCTTTGCATATATTATATTACCTTGGAAAATATGAAATCATTTCATTTTTTGAAAATGCACATTTTATGTATTTGTTCCGTAGCACAATCTATATAATTAAATACTATATGTTAGTAGACACATGAAATTCCTAAGGTAGAACTTTTATACTGTACTTGAAATTCTAGAAACCATAGGTTTGTACACATCTTTATTTTCTAAATGAGCAAATTGAGGTGCAAAGGATTGATTTGGCGAAGGTAACATAATTTATTAATAGCATACTTAGTTCTCAAAGCCAAATTGTTTGGCTTTTTAGGCAACTCTTTTCAGAATATTTCACATGCATTCTGAAGTTTGAAGAAATTTTCTTCTAGACTCCTTACGAGCCCAGTAATAGACTGGTAAGTATTAAAACAAATTAATATGAGATTAGAATTTTTTCATTCAGGGAGATCAGTTTTCTATATCTCATTCCCCTCCTCCTCCCTTTCATTTCTCCCTTTTGTGATTATTGGACAGTAATAAGGTAAAAACAGATATAGAAGCTTGCCTAGATTATATAGTGATTAGAAATATATTTATTTTATGGTTGTGAAATTATATTCTGTAATTTCAGCTGAACTTTGTAATATCACTTAATGCTTCTTAAAATAAGCTATAATTACAACTGAACTTTGTAATATCACTTAATGGTGCTTAAACAAAATAAACTATAACTACTCTAACCAGTATAGATCTTTACTTTGATCCCCTGTAATCCTTAATTGTAGAGTATATCTTTCATTTAATTATATTGCGTTCTGTAATTGTTTCATTACATAAGTTTTTATTTTTCCAACAGGCTTATAATTTCTGTCACATCCAGGATAGATTAATTTTCTCACTACCTGAATAAAGAAAAACTTTCTTTTGTCACTGTAGGGACTTGTTATTTTGAAATACTTTGTCTATTAAATAGCCTTTATTATGAAATGATTAACTATTTAATTTGCTTTCTGTTTTGCAAATTATAGATGTATGTTGTCTGTGTTCTGTGGCCAGTTAGGTCTTTTATTCTGTGTGAAATTGATCTTAAATTTTCATCACCAGATAATGTACTATTTTCATCAGGATTTTTTTTTCAGTACTGTGGTTTAACCCAGGGCATTATATGTTTTCCAAGCACTCTATCACTGAGCTACATCCTCTCCCCTTTTTACATTTTATTTTGAGACAGGTTCTCAATAAGTTGCCCAGCTGGCCTTGAATTTGTAGCCTTCCTACCTCAACCTCCTAAAATGCTGATATTATAGGAGTAAACCCCTTCAATGACCTATGACTTGTGATATAACAATATTTATGATTAATAATTTTGCCTACTGGCATAATACCGATGGGGGCTGTAGGTAGAGTTTAGAGTTTATTGGAGTCTGTTGCAGCAAACTGAGTGAATAAAGGTCTAAATCAGTTAATTTAATGGAAGGTAGATATAGGAATAAAGATGTTCATGAGGTACATTGGTACATTGATGGTCACTGTATATGAGGAAAGAATCAGTATGTAATAGTATAGTAGTATGTTGACTGCTATTGTCACTACTGAATTACTTTGTGTACAGTCTGAAGAACTATGCAAAGATATAGGTCCTATTCTAAAGTAACTTAAGAATATGAAAACACTAAAACTTTTTCTTCAACTAATTTATAGTCTAGGGCCGGGGATTTAGCTCAGTGGTTTCGCCACCTGCTGTGCAAGCGCAAGGACCAGAATTCGATCTCCAGTACCAAAAAAAAAAGCTTCAAACTAATTTATAGTCTTGACTATTAGAAAAAAATTGAAAAACATTTTTCCATAGTAATGATTATTAACATTTGTTCCAACAATTATTAGTTACAGTAATCCTTTGAAATATCCTTAATAAGCCAGAAGGTAAATAGTGGCTGGATTTATAAATAGTCTATGGTCTTAAAAGTACCTCAATCAGAATAAAGATAAACACTGTATTATAAGGTAAATAACTTCCTTTTCTTGTCCTTCTCGGTTACAGATGATTACTGTGAATGCTTCCTTATTTCCTAGTTCAGTGGCCAACTCGTTAATTGCAGTTGGAAATGATGGACTTCAAGAAAGAGACAGAATGGTCCGAGCATGCATTGCCATTATCTGTGAACTAGGTCAGAATTTTCTTCAAGTAGTAAAATATAGTGTTTTATAAAGAAAATATAATATTTCCTAGTGCTTTTAATATATAATTTTTTTAGTTAAATAGTACACAAATAGAAAAAGGTATATTTCTGATAGCAAAGTAGAATTGTTATTTAACAAATAATTTCAAAATGATATTAGAATTGTGTAAATCTTAAGTTTTACTCGTCATGAAATTTAGTGTATGAATTGTCTAAAATCCATAATTATTATAAAATCTCTTGAAGTCTAGCATTTCAACATTAATCACATTATATGATAAAGAAATTTACACTGAGAAGAACTAAATCATACCACTGAGGATTTTAAAATACTGTCTACAATATCTTTTGGTTTTTACACAGATTTAGAAATATGATTAAGGAAATGTAGAACATAAAAAAATTTACTACATATCAATGGGATTCCTGGAAAGCTATACTTATAGTTAATATGTTATTTATAAAGTGCTTTTATAAATAAGCACAAAGTGAGTAAATGGCTGTAATTGAAGAAATAGGAAAAAGGGAAAATATTATTTACATGGTAAGCAGGAGAAAGCAGCAATAAAATTTAAAGCCCTAATCAGGGAACAAGCCAGATTACTCAGCCTAAACTATGTTAGTTGGAAAAAGAAAAATATGGAATATACATTTAAATGTGTGGAAAACCCAAAAATTAGAAAACAAAAGATAATAAATGAAGAAGAGAATATTTTAGGAGTTTTAAAAATTATAAATTTAATGTATATTTGAAAACTTAATAAAATCAATGGATTTGGAGGGTTATTATTAATTTCCAAAAGTAGTAGGAAACATGATAGATCAATAAATCATAGAAGTAGTTGAAAATATTGATGAAATAGTTATCTCCAAAAAGACTCATTAGTGTAGTTTTGTTTAAAAAAGAACAAGTGCATAATTCTTTTGTATACACTGATATACTTACATCTGTATA